CAAACTCGAGAAAGCACAGAGTTCAACCAGAATAAAAAATTAAAAGAACAGGGTGCACGAGGACCGACTGAAGAACGGTACTTTCTTACAAACAGGTGATGCTAGAAAGGATAAGAAATCTCCCAGAAACAAGCATTTCTTCTCTTTCTTTCCTTCAGGACAAGGAATTCCCTAATTTATAACTCTAGATGTCTACGGTTAGGAAGTTGTATTTAGTCAAACAGTTAGGCACTGGAACAGGCTGTACAGAGCTTTATGAAATTCCCTTGACTGAATATTTTCTAATAGGCTGAAAACTAACCAGGGTGATATCAGAATACATCTGTATGTTTGAAAGCCCTCAAGCTCTACACTTACACGGTCTCCAGTGAATTATTTGGAGACGCATCACAAACTGCTATATTTCTTCTATTAGAACTTTAAAGGCATAGCTCTCTAATTGCATCCTTCTGTTATGAAACTTACCTCAGAAATATTTATCTGGATAGAAGCGTGATCCTTGGCACCAATTATTCGGTTGCTAGCAGAGCTAAGGAATAAAAGACCAAGATACATTTAAATAAAAGGGAATGGACAGTGACAATGAAAACATAACTATTAAAGCCAAATCTGCATGCAAATTAAAGCTGCACAAGAAGTTTAGGCAGCAACAGTTTAAGCTTTCAGTGCTCAGAAAATTAAAATGCAGTTTTAAGAACAATTAAAGGAGACTTCCACCAGGTAGCGTCACGCTAAGTTGCCAACTATCTCTCCACTTTGGTTTTCACACGCCCAGCTCGCCTCTATACAGCGCACACAAGGCTTCAAAACACACAGAATATCAAGTTTTTCCCTTCAAAAGTGCAAAAAATACAACGATCAAGGTCACTCATGAGAATGCAGTTTCTATGCCTTTTTCACTGAGAGCCATTATAGCTGCCAAAAGACACTCAGGTTGCCAGCTCTCAGAACTCACAGGCTGTAAAAAACATTGGGTTTAAGTCTAATTAAATGCATACTAACACTTTATTTTTTAGTGTTTGTTTGGGGTTTTTTTTGTTGTGTTTTTTCTTTTTTTTAAAGCACACACATTTACAAAAACCTTCTTACTCTCCCTTTACATCAACCACAAAACTGTACTCAAGACGTGCTACCCAGGCACCAAGCGATCACTTACCTGACGCCGCAGCCACCTGCGCCTGGCCCACATAAGAGCCCTGGCCAGCAGAAGGGCACAGCACCCTCCTCAACTTAGAATCATAGAATGGTAAGGATTGGAAGGGACCTTAAAGATCATCTGGTTCCAACCCCCCTGCCATGAGCAGGGACATCT